CCCACTGCGAGAAGCTCTGCCCACTTTCGCAAGATGCCTCAGATTAGCAGATTAGAGTCTCAACTAGCAAGTTAGAGTCCCGCTTGACACATGAAACAACGGTGCCTGTTTTTTTTGTTGCGTAACGAGCGAGACTCCAACCTCTACCTGAAACTTTAGCCTGCTAATCTGGAACATTCTGCGAAAGTGAGCGGAACTTCTATGAAGTGGGCGGAGCTTTTCGCGGTGGGCGGGGCTTCCCACGGCTCAAAATGTTAACGTTCTGAAAAAGGACCAAATCCCGTAAATAAACCATAAAAAGGGCGCGACTGCAGTGAGGGGCTTGTAGTGTCCAGCGTGATGCGTATGACTAAGTCTGGATTTGAGAAGCATGAATTCGAATTGAAATTAAAATATAACTGGCGGATATTGACAGATAGGTAAAAAAAATCACCGTCACGTTGGTAGGCATCACATCTCCGAGGCCGATCGTTGAGATGGAGATGAACGAGAAATAGAAAGACAGGAAATAATCCATGCCGGTGTTTGGTAAACCGGAAAGCTTATCGTAGGCGAAAATGAATGTGGTCGTGCCCATCAGGTATACTAAATGTTCGTGTGAATTGTTGTTCTCAGAAGAAAACCTTCACCTTGATGTTTGTATGGGCCGAGTCAGGCCTGCTACTTTGTTCACAAGGCCTGCTTCCAGCTGTGATACGGTACTGACTGGAGGTGCACCAAAATAGCTGATTGACTCCGCCCACATAATCACCGTGAATTGTGCCCATGAAAGCGAGATCCGCTCAAACTAAAGATTTAGAACAACATACCTATCATGAAAAAGATACATAGGACAACCGGCAGTGTGAAGACTTCACCATCCTCGACATCTTTTTTGGACCAAAATTTTCTGAAAAATGTATTTTTTTGACAACTCTGCTGCTTAGGCGAAATTCTAAGATTGACTCCCGCGAACAGTTCCTCCCAATGAATGAGCGCTAGTGATTTGACAGGTCGCTCCACCCACACTCATGGTGCGGCCGCCGCCTCTGACAGTACTCACCTCCACCGAATGACGGCGTTTGCGTAAATGTTCGTCAGCATTACCAGAGCTGAATTGCCGAGATGCCTGATGACAACCAGAGTGAGAGGGACGAATAGAAGCCCATAGACGACCACACACGCTTTTCCCAATGTCGACGACGGGGCTATGGAACCTGAAAAGTTTTTGGATTTTAATTTGAACGAGAGCAGAAGCTCTTTTTCGTTTTTTTTTTAATTTTTCGAAATCATTATTACACTCAACTACAGCTCAACACAGAATATCCCACCAAAGAGTAGCTGCCGCCACTTCCAATGGGTGAGTCCACCGCTACGCCCTATCCATCATTGGGATATAGAGTGTATTGACTGTGAATCTCGGACTACGGGGATTTGCGAATTTTTGGTCTCATACGATCAAGACGGGAAGAAGGGCTACAGTGGCAAAGTGGTGCCATTTACTACGAGCGCTGCCGGAGAGCTGAATCCCAGATCTTCTTCGCTTGGGCTAGCCGCGGGGGAGGGCTAGGACTATATAGCGCTTGCAACGGGAAAAACCAAGAACATTAAACCATTGACAACATTGCTCGCGAAGGCAGATACAACCCTCCGCCCTCGTCTGGGATCCCCAAAGTGCGACGTGCCGTGGATTCATAAGCCGCATGGGACTAACCGGCGTTTGCATCGGAACAAAATACTGCAAAACTGTATACTTGTGTGACAGAACGATTGTCTAAAAACATACCGTAACCAGTCGTTGTGTAGACGTTCATCGAGAAAAAACAGCTACTACCAAATGTCCACTGCATGTTATTTTTCATGTCTTCAGCCTTGTGAAACGTACTCCCCACATAGTGAGACTCTTGCTTCAAAAGTGTCACATAAGTACGCTGAACATAGGCGCTACGCTATTGAGTGGGTGAACGAAAACATATGTTGCTGTGGCAGCCCTGTGAACTCACCTTTAGGTATGAGATCATGAACTTCTCGTCGACCATTCGTCGAGGATCATTTATTGTCCTGCGTCATCTCCTTTGCTATGGCCTCGATCGTCGCATCCAGTGCAGCCTTATGGATGGCAACTGTCTGAATCAATGAGCACTCAAAAACAGGGGGTCAGTTAGAGACGAACGGGAGACGGGTGATTCTATCGTGAGCTCACGAGACTGCACCGCTTACGCCGCGCACGGCGGTGTCACCACTACCGCGTCCAGACGAACTATCTCCACAGTAAGAGCTTTGCTCTTGATCACAGCGCCAAAGTTGCAATGGGATGGCTCCCTTCAGAAATTGTGGAGAGCTTAGAGGGTACGCAAGTGGTACGCAAAAGCTGCGAGGTACGCAAGTGGTACGCAAAAGCTGCGACGTCGCAGGCCACGCCCACCACCGCTGAGACCCACGATAGAATCGCCACATACCGAAACGAATCTGTTCAGTATCTTTACGCAAGCAACTCGCAATATCTCGCTGTTCGGAACTGATTTTTCGACAATGCTCGGCTTGAAGGGAGGGGATGAAAATGGCTATCTTGTATGCTTGTGGACCGGACCACCTTTTCGCAGACGTCTGCAAGTCGAATGAACGCAGGACGTGCTTATATAGGCACATTCTCCGATAACCAGATGAGCAGAGATATGGGCGGAGACTGGTAACCGGCGCAAATGGCTGACGGGGGGGGGGGGCATTTTGCACTTTCGTTGCTTCACTAGTTCTGGTTTACAAGTCTCACTCTGGTGAAACCTGTGAACTCTTGTGAAGCTGGAGCAAGCTCGTCAAGCCATCATGGTAAAACCTGTCAACTCAAGAAGAGGCTGTCTAGATGGGTCGACACGTCGATGGGAAGTCGTTAAAGTGCAAAATACCCTCCCCGTCGCCGAACAGCGCCCTGGTTACCGTTCTGCCTCTAAGAGTGACGCTCTCCCCTTCTTTACTTTATTGTAGGGGGACGCACCAGTGAGAACAGCAGAAAAGCCACAAATTCCCAAAACCTCTCTGCCCGGCCGATTGTCGCGGAATTTGTTTTTACAGGGCTGGAATGTGTTTGGAGCTGGTTTGGCACGTCGAATGCTGAGGAATCCCCAGTGGAAGATCGCCTTTAAGATGCGGAGGGAGTGGGTCGCACTTGATTGGTGAAGAAAGGGTAGGTTGTATTCGATGTGGGGAAATCCCTCCCCATAGCTGATTTCCTGTCTCACATAGCCGCTGTCTTTGAAAATTCCGGTGGGGGCCTCATCCCCCCGCAAACTCACAAGTGGTGTAAAGTTCCCTAACGCAGCACTAACTTCCTAAGTTTTACAAATACCCTGCCTCCTCGCGAACCATTACTATAGAATGGGGGGAACGATCAATGACGAAAAAACTCCAGAAAACAGGTAGGAGTTGGAAAAAGCCATAAGATGTAGGACAAGATGGGAGTGCGTGAGGGACGAGAGAGCGGTAGCAGAAAGGAAATTTGGCAAGAGGGGGGGTCGTATTTCTGCAAGAAAACAGGTACGTGCTCTCTTTGACCTAGTAACATGCTTCGATAGAACACCCGGTAGTGTTCCTCTATTCCAGTGATAAACACGGCAAGCAGGCTTCGTGTTCCCGAATCATATTGTAATTAGGATCAAAGCGCACGCAACAGCCGCGCGCCAGTATCGTGCAGCCGAATTCCTCTATACCGTACGTTCGTATTAGCGGAGCTGCGAATGTAGGTAGAGACATAGTTTCGCGTCCCGAGTAACGTGTATACATACGCCAAGCAGTAACAAGGCGCAGATATTCCAGCTAAAACGCATATTTTCTAAGAACCTAATAACGGGAGAACCCACTCTTCAGACGGGCGGCATGGATTTCCAGCTCTGAAAGAAGAAGAATCCCGTTGGTTTCCAGTTCTGTAGACTGAATATCGAAATACATACCCTGAGAGCGCGGTGGGTGTGGCTGCGCACTACATTCGAAAATGGCGTAGGATGGGGTATGCTAAATATTTTTCATCTGACACAACTGTCATCTTGTTGGATGAAAACATAATGACCATCGCCCCGAAATGAAAACACCTCAGAAGCGCCGGCGCTGCCACATTAAAAGAGATACGCAACCACGCCCATCACATCTCAGGGATATGGAGTGCAGAAGTTGTCAATATGAATGCGCCATACGATAGTGCACTTACTTTTCAGAATTCGATCACCTCTGGTTCCCTTTGGATTTTCACGTCGAATTTCGTAGTTGGATGGACGAACCCGATTCCCACCTGAAAGGCCACTTATCAGTTATCTCGATCTGGAAAGAGGTGGGTGCCTCTGTGAGCTGGAGAAAACTTGAGTAAATCTGCACTCAAGGCAGTGGGCACCATTACTGGAGGCGGGCGGTTTTTGCCATTGTGACTGGGCGGAAGGATTGCGAGATCGCATACGGCCTTACCCCACTCAGCTCTTCCACCAATGGCATAGGGGATCGCCCATTCCCAGCCATCGTTCCCACTGAATTTAAAGAAACTTCTGGCTTCACAACTCCAGCTCTTCTGGAATGCGTTTCTCATAGCGGCAGCGGTCTCCCGTTGTATGATATTCCAAAACCTGTCAGAGGAGGGCACAGCAGCCATCGGGGAGACGAGCCGTATCAGTGCGATCCCGTGCTAAACAGGGTTCCGCTGAAAAGCTTACTACCCTTTCCCATCCCCCCTCTTCAACACGAATTATGTGAATCCCGCGCTGTGCTGTAGATTCCTCCTCCCGTCCGCAACTCCAGAAAGGAATCTGCGATGAAGTTCTGCGTTATAATGAGTGCCACTAATTCTATGAAGCGTCCCAGTCCAAACGATAATATTCAAAGTATTTCGAGGGGAGGGAGGGGGGAGGGTAAAAGGGACAAATGAACTTTGCCGCTCCCCTTGTCTGTCAAAGTTAGTAAATACTACTTGCCAGCTCTTGTAAAATAATCAGCATAAGCATCGAAAGCAAGAAATGCATACCACCCCCCCCCCCCTTCCCTCCTTCGCCTTCGCCTAGCTGCGCCAGTATGTTCGATGGGATTTCCAGCCTTGTGGGAAGATTCCCAACCACTACAAAACCTAAGCAATTCTAGGCCATGTGAAGCGATGTCGTCCAGGAAATACCACTAAGCCTCTCAACACACATCCCTGACTCTGTGTTGTCCCCTCTTTGCTATGTCCCCTCATAGAACTATGCAGTATTCTTGTGAGTACAATAAGTGAATAAATAAATCTCCTCTAAAGTACCTCAAAAATCTTCATTAGACGCGAACTGTCTCAGTCTAGCAGAGAACATAATTGTGAGTGTGAAATGGCGGTGCCTCACCCCTCCTTCCCAGCCTACCTGCTGATTTCTGCGTTTTTCAAACTTCCCATTTTGACGAAAAAATTCTAGTTTCCCTCGAGAGGAGAACGCGTGTAAAACGAGAGAATCAAAAAAGCCAAAAAACCGGGAAAAGAAATTGCAGCAACTGTTACCCTTTCCGAAATGGTTTCTATTCCTGATTTGATTTTTTCTATTTCTTTTCTTTTTATTAGGGTGTCCACAAAGTTCGTTGGCCATTTGTAAACAGCGTCGCGTTACGCAACGCGTTGTGATTTTGCATAAGATTTCGCAATACTGAAAGTACTCGCGATGGGCTATCTTCTGAGCTAGCTAGCTCTAAATTTCCTTTCCTGATCTTTCCACAATAAAGCAGTGAAGATGAGTGATAGTTGCTGGACTACTACAATCTGGACATCTCCAGACGTCAGGCCACGACCAGGATGCGTCAGCAGTTTGGTGATAACACCCCTTCTAAGAACTGGATGTCAAAATGGGGGACTCGCTTCACCAATGGAAACTATGGCATCGAAGATATGCCGAGGTTTCTGGTTCTCTCGTCACGGCGTCGTCCACTATAGCACCCTACCCAACAATGCCACAGTGACGGCAGAGACCCTCTCTAAAGAATTGCAGGAGGTCAAGGTGAAAGCTGCCGCCTTGTCCCAGAAACTTGCAAATCCGTGGTTGCTCTGGGACAACGCGCGCCCCCACAAAGCGAGAGATACTCAGGCCGTCCTGGACAGGCTGGGCATCGAGACGATCACGCATCCACCGTAT